GGTAATTAAGCGCCTCCCGAATACAACTCCAGGGTAGGGTGTTGAAGGCGTTGGAGATGTCTAATGACACCGCCAGCACCACCCCACCCCGGGATACTGTCTCCTCCGCCAGGGCCCTCACGCGCGTAATAGCGTCTATGGTGGAGCGCCCGCGACGAAAACCAAACTGGTTCTCGTCCAGGTCTGGCCCCACTCTGCACAAGTGGCTGACGAGGCGATCTGCGATGATACGCTCAAGAAGTTTGCCCGCCTCGTCGAGCAGCACTATGGGCCGGTACGCGGACGGTGAGTCCGCGGGGCGCCCCTCCTTCCTGAGTAGGACCAGCCTTCCCTCCTTCCACACACTGGGAAGCTGACCCTGCTCGAGACATGCCGTGAAGAGCCCCCTCAGCTGGGGCTCCAGCTCCTTCAGAGCCAGGACGAGAGCTCGACCAGGAACTCCGTCGGGTCCGGGCGCTGTGTTCTTGGCCCGAAGTCGCGCCATGGCCGCTCTCATCTCTGCTTGCGTCACCTTGGGGACATCGGTGCTCTCCTCCTCTGGAGAGTCTGTGGCTGAGGGCGAAGCCATCGCCGGGGGAACGTGTCCCACTCGTTCAGGGAAGAGAACTGATACCACCGTCTCTAGCAACTGGGGTTGCATTGTTTGCGTTAGTGGGGGCGCCCAGGAACGCAACTTGCCCCGTACCCAACGGTAGGGGCGCCCCCACGGATCCCGATCTAGGGACCCCAGCAGCTCCTCCCTGGCACGCGACTTCGAGTCGCCGATGGCCAGCCACAGAGTCTCCTTAGACGCGCGGTACACCTCATACAGCGCGTCCTCCTCGGCGGAATCCCGTCGACGCCGTCTCCGGTATCGGGTGTACCGGCGTCGGGCCGCAACGCACGCTATGCGCAGTTGCGCGATCTCGGCGGTCCACCAGTACACCTGGTGCCTTGCGGACCGTTGGCGGACACGGGGCATGGACGCGTCACAGATCTGCGTCATCGCCCCGCGAAACCATAGCGCCACTGCTTCGACGTCGACGGTACTGTCCGTTGCCGACTCCCAGATCCAGGACTGGACTAAGGCAGCTTCCTCGAGTAGTTCCCTGTCGATGCGCTTAAGCGCCCAACGCGGACCGTCGTTAATCGGGGTAGTTGGATGGCGGCCTCTCGCAGTCTGGGCAGAGACGTCGAACCGGATATACCGATGGTCCGACAACGTCTCCACCCCTACGGCGACACGCCAGTCGCGGACTCGGCTGGCGACAGAGGGGCTGGCAAACGAGACGTCCACTATCGACCCGCCCCGCTGCCGCACGCACGTGTATTCCGAACCCCGATTCAGGACGACCAGACCAGTTGTCACTGTCCACTCTTCTAGCACCTCGCCCCGAGGATCAGTGACCGGAGATCCCCACGCTGATGACTTTGCGTTGAGATCCCCGAGCACCAGAACGGGACGAGGGTGATAGCGGCCTACGACGGCGCCCAACTCGACAAGGAAACCCTCAAAGTCGGCGAGACTCTTGTTGGGGGAGAAATACGCCCCCACAATAACGATACCACCCGAGACCGCAGCAACCCAGCCACGGCCCCGAGACGGTTCGATCAGAGTCTCGCCAATAATGGCCACCAAACCGTCAGCGCATCCCAGCCAGTTGTCACGGGCGGGAATGAAGTACGGTTCGGCGACCACAGCCACGTGAATCGACCACTCTGCCAAGCTCTGGAGTAGGAGATCCTGAGCTCTGGCACAGTGGTTGATGTTGCCCTGGAGAAAATGGAACTTTGCCATTATTGGCATTCCATTTCCTTCTCAACGGTCCTGGGCCGGGAGTCGCCCGCGGAGCTACTGGCCTGTGTGGGCAGCGAGGTTAACTCGGCAGGCTTGGTGCTCCTCTTCTTTTCTTTTTTGGCCTTGGACTTGCTGGTAGGCGCCCCACAGGCCCCTCCGCCTACTCTGTGCTCCGCTGGCCTTCCCGCAGCAGAGCAAAGGCTGCAGTTGAACGCCGCGGTGCACAGGGCCGCCTTGTGGCCAGGCTGGCCGCAGCGGTAACAAAGGTCACTGCGGTCAACCTCGGCGGTGCACTTCGCCCGGACGTGCCCTTTTTCAAGGCACCGGAAGCACTGCAAAGCCCGGGGCTGTAGCAGCTTCGTCCTTGCCGCCACCCAGCCTACCAGCAATCTGCCGCTATCGGCAACCTTCTTTGCCGCCGCTACAGGGCACCGAACCCAGACCGCGCCAAGTCCGGTGGCATCGGTGCGTATATCGCCGGCCCGCACCTTGTCCGGCGGACACTCTCCGCTTCTGGCAACGGCCGCCACCACCTCCTCAGATGTCACGGAGTCGTCCAGGCCAGCAATCCGCAATTCTGCGGTTTTCATTGGTCTGGAGACCCGGACGTCCTCAGGGTTGAGGACCTCTCTCATCTTGGCGGCCAATGCGTCCGCCTTTTCGGCACTGTCGCTCACAGTGCCAGCCACCTCGAACAGCCGCGCACCCGTGGCAGCCTGCCTGAGGGTGACGGACTGAAGGCCAAGATCTGATAATTTAATCTTGGCCTTGGCCTCAGCGATGACCGACTGGTACGTCACGCCACGCTCCACAGCTCCGGGCTGCAATGTTATTGTCACCGCATTGGACCGCGGAACACGTACAGCCGATTTCTTGCGACCGCCTTTGGCAGTCCGCCGCTCAGGTTGAGGAGCCGTCTTTGCGGTTCCACCTGGGGCATGTGCAGCTGCTGCGGCCTTCTTGGCGGCTTTGCGGGCCTTCTTGCGGCCCACGACTTTCGCCCATGTCTCACCCTTAGACCCGGCTGTCGTGGGCTGGTCGCTCGGAGGAGCTCCCTCCGCGGGCTTTATTTTACCCTCCATGGGCTTCCCCTTTTGAGGCGCAAGTCTCGGCGGCTCCTCAGTTCTCCGCGTGTCAGCTGCCAAAGGCGGACGTAGGGTTTCCGCCGGGAGACGCCGAGAAATCGCCTCCAGCCGAGCGTTAACCATGCTCCCGCACTGGAGCATGCAGAGCCGGACAATGCGCTCGACCTCTTCGTCGGTACGAGGGCTTGTCGGTCGCGGTGCGGGAGTCGGGGCCACTACAGATGCGGCATCGGTGGATGTGCATCTCTGCTGCTGCTCGCTCAGTGCCGCGACTTGCTGCCGGAGGTCCTCTAGATCGTTTCTGAGGCGGCTATTTTCCTCCTGTAGTTTGGCGACCTCGTCAGAGGCCGTCCTGTTGAGGAGAATGCCAACCGCCTCCCTGATGTCCGCGGCAGCCTCTTTTAAGCCACGGGTGAACGTGCCCTTCAGGCTGCCAGACTTGGTGGCAACCTTCAGGACTAAGTCCACCCCATCCAGAGCCAGCTGGCTCAAGGCCACCGCAGATGGCTCTCCTTTTTCCGCCGCCAGAGCAGCTCGTCGTTCGCGAGCACGTCGGGCCATTTCAGACACTTCGTCTGCTGCGACGGCTTTGCGCTGTTCCCTCTTGGCGGCGTTGAGCTCCGCCTTTGAACTCCCCAGCGAGGCACAGCTTTCGCCGCCATCGCCAGGGTCCTCCGTAGTGACCCCCATGTCACTCTCTGCTTCACTAGCCGCCGAGGTATTGGAGCACACAAATCGTCCGTGCTTATCCCTTCGCGGCTGCGAAGCATTTACCCCTCTCGATGCCTGCCGACCCCTCCTCGAAGTCGCCAACTTGGGGGCTGGCAGGCCTTCCTCGTCCGAAGACCGGCACACTGGACGTTTCCTGGCGGAAGACGTCCCACGCGATCTGTCCACGTCTGATTCATCCTTTTTTCCTATATCTACATTTTTTAAAGTTTTATTCATTTTTTTTCCCACGAGTGTGGAGGAAGTAACGGTCCGTCCGAGCAGAGCCCCCTTTGCCCGGATAAGCCTATGCATAACCCGTCAAGGGTGTCGGCCGGTACCCTGACGGGGGGCAACGCTAACGACTGAACATTTACCCATCAGCCATGCAGCTCCTCACGGCGTGCCACGCTTGAGCTTCGGGTGATTTTTTATAGAGGTTATCATCCTCGCGACTCCAGGCGGTTAAGCCAAGAGCCCTCGGCCCCTCAGGCGCCGCGAGACATGATCCACGACACGCCAAAGGGATTCCGAGGTTCGAACGGCGGCAGAGTCGATACGGGTTCTTCCCATGCCTGCCCAGAGACCGGGTGAGGGAACTCTGAGCCCATTCAATTCCCGCGATGACGGGTTGCCCGGCGTCGGCAAAAGCCGAGTGCACCTGGCATCTCACCGCGCATGTCACATCCTCTGTTCCTCTCAGTGGAGAGGATACGGGAAGCAACTAGCAGGTACTTGATTCCATTCGGAACCAGAGGTACGCCCCAAACCCAGCCAGCTTTGGTCCGCGACGGTTTCCCGCTACCACTCATATCTGAGTGGCATTCCCCCTATCCGCCACCTGGGGACGCGCCCGATGGGAGGACTGGCAACTCCACACGGGAACCTAACCTAACCTAACCTAACCTAACCTAACCTAACCATAACCATAAAAATTTTCAGATTTTTATTGTAAGTAGTTTTTTAATTAGGATTTTTTAAATTAATTTGTTTACCACGTGCTACCCTATTATAACGTGTTTCTAGGTATAAAAATATATATATAAATTAAAGATACCTATAGTATTGTACATACATTTTTGTAGAATTCTAAAACTAAAATTTGGCCATAAAAATCAAAAGTTTGTAAAAAGTTTTACAATTTTTGTTAAAAATTAATTCCAAGGGGCTTAAAACGCCAAAATACTTATTTATGTGTTATCTCGACACCGAGACCTTTTAAATGAGCCCAAACACGGCCCAAATCGGTTAAAAGTCGCCTGAAATAACGTATAGTGGTCGCCATCTTTGCCCGCCATTTTGGAAAATTGCAAAGTCTTATAACTCCAGAACTATAAGTCGGATTTCGACGCGGTTTTCGACATTGGATTTGGCATCACTACCTCCACATTTGTGGACACTCAAAAATATTCTTTATACTAAAGTACATCATGTCAGACAAGGGCAAGAAAACTGTAGCTGGTCACCCAGAAAAACTTGTGGCCTCCAAAAAGAAAACCTTAACAAGGAGCACAAAGGACCTTAGTCGGGTTCCCATTAGCACAGACAACAAAGCAACGGAGGAAATGATCCAGCAAGCGCTGAACGACAATCCCTCAGATCCTACAGATAAAAACATGGTGGAGCAACCCGAAAAACTTCAAGCTGAAGATTGTGGTGGAAAGAATGAACCAGAACCGATCACACAGGAGCCGTTCACCATTTCGCCAAATCTTGATGAAGCAACCACGTCCTCCCCAGTGCTTGCAAGATCTGAATCAAGCCTCCTACGAATCCGTGCTCAGATCAGACACGCGAAAACTGTGGAGACCAAGGACGGTCTAAGAGCCATGTCAGAAGCTGAAGACACAGCGGAGTCGGACGTTGACAGTGGGGATACCAACACCTCTCTTGACGCTTCCACGAGATCGATTTCGGGTACCCGAATGCTTTTGAATGAGCTACCCAAGCACGCAAACCAAGTACTTCAGCGGGCTAAAACAGATCTTGAAAAATCTGGCAACTTAAAGAGAGAGATTCGGGAGAGTGTTGTTTCAGGGTTATACACTTTATATGAGATGATACTTAAGCTGTCGGACTCAAGAACGCTACATATGCTTGAGTCAAACAAACAGAAATTAAACGTTTCTCGAGAACCGAAAGGCTCACCCAAAGGCATGCTAGGTTTATGCACGAAACCTTGGGACAATATGCCCTCTTAAAAGAGAATATAGAGAAACTCCAAAAAGAAACTGAATCGACACGACTCATTCTCTCCTATGACCTCTGCGAGGCAATCACCGCAACAAAGCGAGAACTTACCAGTGTTAAAAATGAGATTACTGCAGGTTCGTCTCTGACAAGTCAAATATTATCATTAAGAGATGAACTAAGGCAGCTCAAAGATAATATAAGTAACCGTCATGACTTCAATCGACAGGAGTTTGACATTTCACCTCTTATCAAAGAAATGCAAGACTTCCGTTGCACACTTGACGAACTTGTATTAAAAAAGGAACTTTATCAGGCCCCTATTGTTAATCCATTCCCCGATACCCAACATAAAGAAGAGTTCGCCCAACACACAAAAACCTCAGATCACCTGTTACAGCACTTGGCAGAAATAAAGACACAGCTAAGCTCTGAGGTAAATGAGCTTAGACAAAAAATCCTTGATTTGTCACAAGACTTACAAGGATTAATGACCATCAACTTCAACTCTTCATTACCCTCGGTACAAGCTAGTATTGAGAAATTACGAAAGGAGACCAAAGAGCTCAGGGACACAACAGTAGACTCTGCAGCTCCCATTCGAGTGGCAATAGAGGGCCTCAGGAAAGAAATCAAAACCATGTCACAAACAGATGAAACGGAACAGACATGTTATAAATTCCAATTCCCTGAGGACAACTTATACACTGGTGAACCAAAACGTCAAACATCAATGTTTGGACAAAAGACTACTTCACGTACCTTCTCCGAAGTAGTTAGGAAACCACATTATCCTATAATAGTAGAGTCCATTGATCCCAGAAATACTAGCGAGGATATAATAAAGGAAGTAAAGAGTGGGATTGATGTGGTTGCACTTGGAATAGGAATCAATAATATCAAAAAAGCAAGAAACCAAAAAGTGCTAATCAGCTGCGAATCCGAAGGAGACAGAAATATCCTACAGGATAATTTAAAAAACGCAACGGCCAAATTTACCGTCTATAAACCAACATCAAGGAATCCTCTCTTACGCTTGATCGGAGTCATCTTTGACCTAACGGATAAAAAGATTGAGGAAGCCATCATAAAGCAAAATAACGCTCTCCTTAAGGATATCTCACCAGCGCAGCAACATATAAGGGTAATTAGAAGAACGAAAGGACGCACAAGTTCTACTTGTAACATTGTCTTAGAGGTGAGTCCACAGATTTGGGCAAAGTTCAGAGACCAAAAGATCAGAGTTGGTTTTCAAATAGTCCCAGCCGTCGACCAATCACCTATCACTCAATGCTTTCGGTGTCTGGGTTTCTCTCATCATGCAAAGGAGTGCAAGGCGCAGAGAGTAAGCTGTGGCTACTGTGCTGAGGCACATGATACGAGAGAATGCCATAACAGAAATAAGTCACCAAAATGCATAAATTGCATCGATAAAAAAGCCAATGACCAAAGCTGTAGTCACCCAGCCTATAGTCCTGAGTGTCTGGAATGGAGAAAGTGGGACAGAATCGCGAGAGCAACCATATCGTATTGCTAAGGGCAACGAAATCTCTCCCCAAAAGACCACAAATACCATAGGCGGAACTATCAAAATGGCCCAAATAAATCTAGGGAGAGGACACGCAGCCCAACAAGAATGTCTGCAAATGGCAGTTGCACAGGGTGTGTCCATTCTCTTATTACAGGAGCCTTATGTCGGAGCGAAAGCTCACGTCACCTGTCAATATAAAACTATTCAAAAACACACTAACGATAATCAAAAACCGGTCAAAGCGGCTGTAATTGTCGTTGATCCAACAATACATTTTACCATTAACTCCGAAACCATCACTGAAAATATTGTAGCTTGTAAATTTAGCATTAAAGGCTTAGACACTGTCATAATAAATGTATATCTAGAAGAAGGTCAAGATGTTGAAGAAGACTTTTGCAAAATAGCAAATTACATCAGCATTCTAGAAGGAAAACATGTGCTTCTTGGAGGAGACTTCAATGCCAAAAGTCCCTGGTGGGGTTGTGATGTGGAAGATAGAAGGGGAGCAGCTGTGGCAGAAGCGTTAGCTCAACTGGAACTCCACGTCCTAAATGTGGGAAAGACGCCAACATTCTCTGTATATAGACAACAAAAACATTACACTAGTATTGTCGACGTGACAGCGTGCACTACTAGCTTGCTTCGCAAATCTTTTGATTGGAAGGTGAATCCCGAGTTAGTTACACTTTCAGACCACCGAGCGATAACGTACAACCTGAAATTCGCAAACGTCGCAAGCGAAACAAAAGAAAGACGATCCACACGCACTTACAACACAAACAAAGCTGACTGGAACAAATTTTCTGACAACTTTAAAGAGGAACTATGCTCCGTAAACATAACCGAGGACATAATATCAACGATAGAATCCATAGAAGGAATGGAAACCCTTGTAAGACTATACACTAAATGCATACAAATTTCATGCGACAAAACTATCCCTAAAATTGCTAAGAATGTACCCACAAAAACACCTTGGTGGACCAAAGAACTTAGCGATAAGAAAAAAGATGTCACTCGAATAAGAAGAAAGATAAAATTCGCAAACCAAAGGAGGAAACCAATCATCATAGAGGAATATATCACAGCCAAAGCGGAATATAAAAACCTAATAACAGAGACGATGACGGCCAGTTGGAAGGAGTTTTGCTCTAGGCAGGACAAAGAGAATCTGTGGCAGAGCATCTACAGAGTAATACGCAAATCCAGTAAAACTCCAGAAGACTCACTTTTAAGAGCAACGCCGGAAAGCGGAATTTTGACCCCGGATAAATCTGTTCAGCTCCTAGTTGAAACATTTTACCCAATTGACGAAATATTAAGTGATGAACCTCAACATACGGAAAGTAGAAACAGATCTACTGTAACCAGAAAAGATCTGCTGAACATCACAAATGAAGAAACTGTGATTCCTTTCACACTAACTGAGATCGACTATGTCTTCAGTAAAATGAGTCCAAAGAAATCACCAGGGGAAGATGGACTAACAGCTGATATATGTTTCAAGGCGTATATGACGGCACCTCAGGTACTATCAGCCATATACAATAGGTGCTTCATCCTAGGGTACTTCCCACAGATTTGGAAACAGGCTATTGTCAAAATCATCCCGAAGCCGAATAAGGAGAATTATACACTAGCTAAATCCTACCGGCCAATAGGACTCCTACCTGTACTGGGTAAGGTTTTTGAAAAACTATTTGTCAACCGAATGACATGGCAGCTCGGCTCAGAAAATAAGATGAGTGGTCGGCAGTATGGGTTTGTCTCACAGAGAGGGACTGAGGATGCCCTGTATGACGCCCTCGAGATTGTCAAGCAAGGAAGAAAGAATAAAGAAATTGTCGCTCTTGTCTCTATCGATATCGAAGGAGCTTTCGATAATGCTTGGTGGCCTGCAATGATAAATGAGCTCGAGAGGAAAAAAGTCGACAGATCAGAATGCAGGCTCATTAACAGTTATCTCACTGATAGGCACGTAAAAATCACGTATGCAGGCAGCGAGATAATTAGGCAAACAAACAAGGGATGCATACAAGGATCAACTTGCGGACCTTTGTTGTGGAACCTGCTAATTGATCCACTTCTAAGGGAGATAGAAGATCTGGGCACCCACATACAGGCGTATGCAGATGACATATTGGTCATAGCGAAAGGGAAAACAGCAAAGGACCTAGAACACGAACTCAACACAGTATTGGATCACATCCTTGTATGGGCAAAAACGCGGAAAATGAAATTGGCGGCTCAGAAAACCCAAGCAATCCTATTCACTAGAAAACTTAAGTACGAAACACCAAAATTACACCTTGATAATGCTCCAATAACGTTTTCAGAAAGAATAACAATCCTTGGACTAACGATCGACGCTAATCTTAATTTTATAAACCATATGGACAAGATAACAGAAAAGGCTATCCAACTCTACAAGAAAGTCTCAAGAACAGCAAGGGCAAACTGGGGTCTCAATCCTGAAATTCTAAGAACGATATATATTACGGTAGTAGAACCCACAGTACTGTACGCGGCAGGAGCATGGGGCTCGACAGCAAGTAGGCAAATTAAATCCAGGCTTGACAGAATTACCAGAGTCTTCGCAATAATAATTAGTAAAGCACATCGTACGGCATCCTTAGTATCCTGTACAACTCAAAGATGTAGTTACAAAGATGTAGTACAACTTTGCTAATATAAAACCACGTGGACACGTGGTTTTTGATTGGAAACCTTGCGGCTGATTCTGACAACGGAATATCAAAGAAAACATCAAGGCAAAGCACCTGACACCTCGATCACCAAAATCGGTTGAGAAATATAGAAGTTATTACACTTTAAAGAAATAAAATTTCAGCAGAAGCTTTATATGCGAATATCTCTGAAATTTCAGTGACGACCACGGTGGTTTTTGTGATCATCTATTGAAGCAATCCAAGACCTACAAAAGGACACTAAAAACTAAATTTTTGGAGCGTAATTAGAAAAGTAAGCAATTTTATTATCATTAAGTGTAAACACGTGTTATCCTGAAAGCGCTCCTGAAAATTCTGAAAAAATTCCATAAAATAGTGTAGACTTAATCTAAGTATCCCAAATTTTTTCAAAATTTTCCTATTCATATTTTTCGAATTAGACGCTATTTGCGGTTGTTGGTTTTTATAAGTTAATTTTCAAAATTAAAAAACTCAAAAAATTTTCAGGACAAAAAATTTTTCAAATTTAGTGCATAATAGCCATTTTACCTAGCTATATACATTATTTTTTTCGGAATTTTTGAGGCAGCGCTTTCGGAGATAGAAATTTTATTGTAAGAGCTGGGAGGTCCTGAAAACTGCACAATAACTGTGTTTTCAGTTTACAGGAAAACGGAGCCTCCTAGCTCATTTTTGACGAAATTTTCCTTCGCCCCCCCCCCCCGTCACCCCCCCCACACTATCCAGAAGCCGGATAGTCTTCGGCCCCCAGCGGATCATTTGGGCT